TGGAGCAGGCGGAAGATCCACTGTTGGCTGGGAGTCAGGGATGGGGGCGCGGTGGGGGGGGCGCGGGGAGCACAGTCACTTTGGCAGAAAACTGAGTCGAGTGGAAAAGGAGGAGAAAAAACTATTTTCCCCGATTAGAGAAGAGACTCTGGTTTCATTCTAAATTTTGTTTTTTGTCTTAAAAAGTGAGAAAATTGCCGCTTCTCTAATTTAGGGGAAAAGCAGCTTATTACTGCTCCCCCTGGTGGCTGTGAAGGGAACGGCGTGTGGCTCCCGCGGTGACTGTGGTGGCACCGGGAAGGCCTCCCGTGACTGCCGAGCAGGGTCCGCTGAAAATCCCCAGCCCGGTCCCCGGTTATCAGAGGGACGAGCTGTATTTAGAAAACCCCTCGCCTTGGGGCTTCCTCTTTTCACTTAGTTCTTGGCATCTGATTCGGGCCAGCGAATGTCGGGGCACGACTAAGTCTCCACGCGCCTCTGCCACTGCCCACTGCGGCTCAATCCCGTGCCCGGCTCCGAACGCTCGGTGATGTGAGCGGCTACCCAGACCTGTGCCCTCAAGGGTCACGGGGCGTCCCAGAACGGAGCTCTGGTTACAGTCAGCCGAGTCACCGCGGGGCACGCTTTGCTTTTAGCAAACAGTCACCGGCGCCAGACAGGTGGCAAGTGCATGAGGATGGCCGTGTTTTATTTACCGTGCGCTGGGTTCAGACCGGCACTATTTTGGGCGAAGAGTGATTTTCACCGCGGGCTTCGTCTGTCAAGTTTCAGGCCCGGGCTGCTGCTGCTTTACGCAACTCTCTTCAGTTGACCGAAGTCGGGCAGGTGGGGGGTTTTTCTTTGTCTTTCAAGTTTCTTTGAGAACAGCAAAAAACGCTGTTCAAGGGAAATACGAGAAGTGAGAAAGGACGATTCTGTGCCCACGGTTCTGCTGCTCTTTGTAGTTTTGCCCACGTGCGATCTCGCCCAGGCCAGGCGGAGGCGGGCGGGCGGGCGAGCACCGGGAGCGCGCGCCGGGGCTGACACCCAGGCCGCTTTGATCCCCACTGTTGTTATTGCTTTCGTTATTATCGTTATGAAACTGCTTTTTTTTTTTTTTTTGTATCGAAGAGGGTTTTTTCCCTTTTGCTGTTTTATAAGCTAATGTAAATGAAGGAAAAGTGTTTGTCTCGTCCGGGTGGGCCTTGCTCAGGAAGGGTGCACAGGCGTGCCCACCAATGTGATTCACCTGACACCCGCAGCAATCTGCCACACAGACAGATGCGAGATGTTGGGATGGTGACAGTTTCTATTATACGTGACAACTTATCCTGCTGGGTGGGAAAAGTTGAAAAATGCCGGTTCGGGTTCTGAAGGGGTCGTCCATTCTGGTAGCATTACTGACACATCTTTTCAACATCGAGGACGGAGCGGTGGCTCTGTGTACGAGCCCGCGGTGACAGCCCTCTGCCCGGCGGGAGCCCAGCCCCGCGGTGTGGGCGCTGGGCGCTGGGGGGCCGTGCTCGCCACTCCCCTGTGACTGGGGACACCAGTACAGGCGTGGAGTCTGCTGCTGGGACCGGCAGGGTGAGGATGGAGGGGAGCCCGCCTGGGGGTGGGCGGGGCCCAGTGAGGCAGACTGGGAG